TAATTATTTGAATTAAATGAGAAATGTCATAATGTATTGAAAGGATTCATTGAAAGGTTAATGTGTATTTCTTGCTAGAATAGCAAGAAATGAATAAGAAATATACTGGCTGTAACCATGACAGCCACCAGTGGGCCTATATAGCCTATTTGTAAATATAAGTACTTAAAGATTCTTAAAAAAATCAGTATTACCTTTCGCTATAAATATTCCGTCGTGTGTACATGGGCTCCTTATACTAACGCAAGTATTAACTGTCTGTTGAGAAGAGTCTCGGTGGAGTGCTTGAGATTGGACACATAACGTAAACAAATTATCATTTTTCTGACAAACTCAGTGAACATTAAAATCCTAGTCTGTTGCCACCAGAAACAGTTTTTTTCATCGTAGATTTGTGAATGTATTTACATATAGATAACTCTATGGGTGCTTGGTCACCAAGGTCAATAAAAAGGATGCGTGATTCCCCCTTTCCTAGAGTTTTCGTGGGAAATGAATAAATATATGTGTGTGTGTGTGTGTGTGTGTGTGTGTGTGTGTGTGTGTGTGTGTGTGTGTGTGTGTGTGTGTGTGTGTGTGTGTGTGTGTGTGTACGTGTACGTGTGTACGTAAATATATTTGTATGTATATATAAATATATTTCCTAGATTTTTCGTGGGATATATATATATGTATCTATATATATGTGTGTGTGTGTGTGTGTGTGTGTGTGTGTACATATATATATATATATATATATATATATATATATATATATATATAAATATATGTATATATATGTACATATATATATATATATATATATATATATATATATATATATATATATATATATGTATATATATATATGTACATATATATATATATATATATATATATATATATATATATGTACATATATATATATATATATATATATATATATATATATATATATATATATATGTACATATATATATATATATATATACATATATATATATATATATATATATATATATATATATATATATATATATATATATATGTACATACACACACACACACACACACACACACACACACACACACACACACACACACACACACACACACATATATATATTTATGTATTTATATTTATATATGATGTTATTAACATTATGCTTAATAGAATGGGATTAACAATATTAATGGCAATATAGACCAAGAAAAAGGTCTTTCCGAAAAAAAACAAGGACAACAGCAAAGAGGTAAGATATACGTGGGTATGGAATCACCGGTGTGTAAATGCAATTAGTAAACTAAAGCTTACAATGGGCATGGTCTGTATATACATACCATTCCCTGCGTAGGGATTTCAACTTCAACTTAGGGATGAGTATGGCAGAGAGTACTTTTCTGAGGACACATAAACAGCATAAAAAAGTGCAATAAAATGTTAAAAGGCTTTTTAAAAATCCTATTTTGAAATAAAAAACTATTTCCTGATTCCTTGAAAAATTATTCCAAAATTTAATTAAGTTTTGATAAAATCAGATTTGATTAAACTGCCACCTGAGTATTTCATGTTTAAATATTATTAATATTTCTAATATTTATCACTTATTTTATGAGACTGGCTCATTTCGATATTTGATTTGGTTTTGCTCACATCGGATCTGGATTCTAGAATAATTTGATCCATTATATAGTAACAGAAATGAAACCTTAGCTTCAAAATAAAGAATATTAAAGTCAATGGAAACAATATATCTAATGGGGGCAATCCTAACTACCTGTGAAGAGCTTGTTGAAGACTGGAAATTACAAATTCTGCAATTTCGAGGATAAGCAAAAGAGAAGTTGTAGAAGGTTAAAAGTTGCAAATTTCCAAAGGACATTTAATACGTAACCCTTAATAAAAGAAGCTGTTTGTGAAAATATTTTCTCGGTTTGAACTCGCCACATATAAATACATTCTAAATAACAAAACAACCTCATGTTTGTCCTTAAAATTTCACAATATAGAAAAAATGGAGCTGTTGTATTTGGGTTGGAGCTATTGCATGTCTGATGGTTTATCTCTGTGTAGCGACTGTATGGGTGCAGGAGCTGTAGGTGAAGTGGAGTTCCACGGGGGAGTCGGAGAGTTTCCCCAATCGGCGAAGGACTGGATAATCCAGTGTACTACTACTTGTTGAAGTGCGACTGGAAGATTGTAAACTGATTCTCAATTCCGGATTGTAGATCTCTCGGGACATAAGTGTAAATCACGAGAGACAAACCAGCTGATGCGCATTCAATTTCTAGCTTGAATGTGATACAAATGTGATGGAAGCCAGGTGATCAAATTGCTACTGGAAAGGCTGGCAATGAAACCTTTCCACTACGTCGTTTGATTGTTTTGCCAGGGTACTCCATAGGTGCGATCTTAACTGTCAGTCATGATGGTATTCAGCACCCCAAATCTTTATACCTAGCTATCCTCAAAGGTCGTCGTCACCGATTCTGCTCTGATAATCTGCTCAGGAAAGCCTTT